TAAATAATTCTGTTCACAACCATTTGCCGAATAATTGAATCGATAAATAGGCGAAATTATTTATCGCCGTAACAGCGTGACCATTCTCTGTTATACACGTGCAGCAATGCGTTTAGAAACATAAATTGTTAAGGATACAATGTTATACGGACTTTCGGCGAACGTCAATACGTTTCGTTTTATTCGACATCGAATCAAATATGTTTTAATACACATATACAACACAGGTTTAAACCAACGCCCGCCGATATAGAATACTGCGCCGGGGTGTTGCGTTACCGGTACGAGTGTGTCTGACATTATATCACGACGTGTTTCTATTTTCAATTACAGAAAATGATTTCCCGTTGTTTCGATGCCGGTTTCATAATGTACCGACTTATATTTCCATGCGTACGTATAAAGTTCGTTTTATGTTAACGTCATGGCGAGTCTAGCTCGTTTTTACGTACGATTGTTTTTATTGCTATAGAACATTGAGTTTCTCGGTAATTATTATTCTTCTCAGCAATTCGAACTTTCAGCAATTCTAAATTTTCCATAAGTCCTGCCAACTTCGAACTACAGAAAGTCGACAGTATTACGCATCGTGGTCAAACGGTGTTCTCGAGCACTACGTGTATTTCTGTCAATTCGTGGTTAAAACTCTAATGTTTATGGAGCGGCGACAGATGGCGTTCTACTAACCACGTCGCCACCGTCACCGGTCCAGATCCTGCACGTATTATTGTAATAATATTATCATTATGCATCATTCGATGAATCAAAATCAATGGATTAATGGACGATGACGTTGATATATCGACACAAAAAAAAAAAAAACACCGTCCGATTTGCAATTTTTGTCCTGCGAAATTACTATCCTCGGAGATTGTGGATTACAACCATATGGTTCTCATCGGCATATTTGATAACAAATGATATAGAACGTGACCAAAACGTAATAAGTTCGTGAATAAATTATATGCATCCGTGGTGCGTATTGTTATTGCATATTTTAAGAATTAAAATACATAATGCGGAGAAATATGACCCCGAGGGCTTACGTTTGACGGTGAATAAAACGAAATACCGTAGGGGTTGGAATCGTATTAGACATTTTTGTTTTTCGTATTCAACAATCGGTAATACACAAAAAAATCAGACAACACCAGTATAGTCGAAGATGTATTGATATATATATATATATATATATATATATAAAGGAAAGCCTGCTATGTACGTATGTCTAATTACCGGTTTCCAAATGTAATATATAACACTGAATTCTATGTAAAATTTCAAAAGCATTTGGTTATTTATAAATGTATTTTGATCACGAGTCGAAACCTAATTTTTTAAATTGAATTTTTTTATTTAAAGAAATATACAATGTACACTTATCAAGAATGGTACGTATATGTAAGGTAGGGAATAAAAACACACTGTAGTCGTATGATTAAAGAAACACTCATGGTGACACTTAGCTTGAGATAACTTTAAGGACTATGTTAGTAAATCTCTATACAGTTTCTTTTTTAGTTTATTACGAGGATTTCTTGGAAGTAAAATAAATTCAACCCTTTTGTCAACGGAATTTTATGAAAACCTAAATAATTTATGCATCATAATTCGTAAACTGGGTATTTTTTGTATCAATTTTCTATTCTGAATTAATTCAGGAATATATTGTTTTTATCATAATTTGTGTATAAATATAAATTAAATGTATCTATATAACTGATTTAGACTTTAAGGATTGTTCCAAATATTACTAAATAAGAAATAAATGTAAATAGATCAAAGTTTTGAGATTTAATTTTAATAATTTCTGAACAAGACATTTCACCAATTTTTTTAATTTGTAAATTTTGTACAGAAAAATTTATTTCTAAAATTCTAATGAATACTCTTGGAATATCATTAAAACCGTAACAATTATTTTATTTAATCAATTAATATAGTTCTACGTAGGTAATGGGCTTATATGTCGAATATAATACTTATTACAATACTGTCGGAAAAATTATTATCAAAAAAAAAATTGCATCAATTTATTTTATTAAGTAATATAATTAAAATTATGTTTACTTGATATTTGTTTTAAATAAATGTCAGGTTTACAAATATTTTACAAACAATAAATATTAATTAAGTAAGATGAAATAATAATATATGCATAAAAAATTCGCATCGTAAATCATCTTCAATTATTAAATGATATTACAATAATAATAATTACTTAGTTTTTTTTTATCTATAAATATTACAGCAACAAAACTTTCAAATTATAAAGGTTTTTATTGATGGCTAACCCCCTCATCAAATCTTTTTTTTTTTTATAAAATAAACGTAAAAGGTTTACATACCTTATATAAATTGAAAAAATACTTAAGTGAGATATACCTTAATAAATGCATAACAATAAAATTAGCATCATCAATCATATTCAGTTATGTCATCAGTATTAAAGTCAATATGTCTCTGTATTGGTTCTATGGAAAAATCTGTTTAGCCGACGTTCTATAGTAATTGGTTTTGGAATAGTCAATTTATATATAACCACTTTATCCCTTTCTTTTTTCACTGCATTTTGCGCCTGGTAAATCATCTACACATTTATTGTAATTGTCTGATGCGAAACACTTGGTAGAGATTAGGATCCGTTATCTACAAGTGGCACATTGTATCCATTTGGCAATACACTGTTTACATAAAGTATGGCTGCTATCAAGGTGTATGGATAAGGTGTCATCACTCGTTCGAAAAACTGATTAAAAATAAAACCACAGTTAATAATCACCACTTGGAGCTCTAACTGTATGAATGCCGATTATAAAGGTTGGATACACGTTCAATGAATATATATTTATGATGTTATAAATCTAATTATACACTATAGAAAAATTAGAAATTTTTCTAATAATATATTTATGAATCGTATTAATAAAAATAATCTCTAATCAAATACGATTATTGAGACGCATTTTTTTAATTATAAAAAGTAGTTGATATCTAGAAAAATTAATTTTATTAGAAAAAACCATGTCAAACAAGTGTATGCATCTGATTGTAGGATGAGTTATTATTCCCAAAAAAATGATGGAAAGTCAATTTTATCATTCAACCGTCCCTCGATAGTACTTTTATAATTATTCTGTTTCTATATTCATTATGATAATAATTTAACTCATAATCTACATAATGTTCAATTTATTTGAATGAAAATATTTTGTCTTTCCGTTACAGAATTCTTACCAAAAAAGAAAAGGCACTAAATTAATTTAAATTTTAAAATGACTATTTAAATGGACTAAAAAAATCCCAAAAGGAGATAGATATTTTTCACTAAAAGATCATGTATTTGAAATACATATTTTTTATCACAATATCCGACGGGAAAAATGTTTTAAGAAATATGATTTTAAAGAAATGAGATGAAAATTAGGTAAGCTGCATTAATATCAAATGCAGTACCTACCATTTCTCCTAATTTGCCAAAAGAACTCAATGAAATACCAGTAAAAAGTTAACCATCAACCATCAATCATAAATAGTTATGACGTACAAATAGGTACAAATAGGTGTACAAAAATGGTAAAAAATTTTAAATTTATTTATTTGGATTGCGTGATTAGATTTATAATAATATTAAAAATATTTTGAAATGTCGATTAAAGATATTATTGTAAACGGCCTATTAACACATCAAATAGTAATTTCTATCCGAAGATGGTGCTGACCTTCTCTGATAAATTTCTTACAGTTTATTTAAGAGCAGAAAAGATGCCAGAAGATACTAAATACAATTGTTTTGTATGTGGCTGTTCATTGGAATGACTTCATTCATGTGTCCTACAATTAGAACAGTGATAATTTCCCATGCCCTACAGTGAAATGCCATTTAAATAAGTCTACTCTGGTTTTTCTGAATAGGTTGCAGCAAAAATAATTTTACAACCAAAATCTTTTAGTAAAATTCGGTACAGAAATATTTCCCAAAAAAAATCTGGGAACATCAATGGTGATAATCTTGATGTATATATTCAATATATTACATGTCTCAAATCTTATGCATTTTAAAAAATCCTCCTACAGTACCATCGATAAAAAATTGCCGTGCTAAATGAACCGATAGAATAAAAAAAGATATAATTAAAGAAGTAAATAAAGAATACAAACCAACTAATCCTGTAGGTAATGTAACAGCAGTGAAAAAATACAAAATTAACCATATCGAAATGAACAGAACTACGTCAGCTACATATCAAAAAAAAAAAAAAAAAAAATTACCCAGCAGTATGCACATAGCAGTAGCGTTTTATCAAATGCTTCTCACCAAAAATCATAAGATATCACAATATATACAAACGTAATAATTTAGGAATACGGACAAATAATCGACTGCGTGTCAAACATATAATCTGTGTGATAATTACGAGTAATACTATTTTATATTACAGTCGACTCTCGGTAACTCGAACCTTGATAACTCGAAATTCTCGATGTCTCGAATAATTAAAATTCCCCTCCAAATAACAATTACACTTAATGTTTAAATAATCTTGGTAACTCGAAAATTAATTTGACAAATTTTCGATATCTCGAATTTTCTTATCCAAATTTAGTACTAAAAGTAGTTTATCAAGGCGATTATTTTTCGCCTATCACTTGTTTTGTAAAACCCGACCATTATAATCAACTAAATGTTTGTAACTTAAACCTTGATAATTTCATACAATAGATTTCATTTTTAGTTCTATGCCGTTTGTTCGTTTAACCGTTTATTGAGCGAGTGTAACAGTGTTAAATCAGTGGTTATTATGGCTCAAAAAAGAAAATTAACAACATTATCACTTGCAGAAAAAGTGAAATTACTTAGAATTATTGAAAAAGGTGAAAAGAAAAAATAAGAAATAGCCAAAGATTTTGGAATTCCAGCGAGTACATTATCTACAATAATAAAAAGTAAAGAGGTAATTTTGAAAAACTTTAATGAAAACTCGGCAACTCGAAAAAAAATGAAACTAGGAGAATACTCTGATATAGAATCCTGTTTATTAAAATGGTTTCAACAATGTCTTGACAAAAAAATTCCAATAAATGGACCCATTCTACGAGAAAAAGCTGAAGAGTTTGGGTATAAGTTGGGGCATGTAAATTTTAAAGCCAGCAGTGGATGGTTAACAAATTGGAAAAACAGAAATAATGTTGTTTTTAAACAAGTTTGTGGTGAAAGTGGCGCTGTAGATGTACAAAAATGTTCCGTATGGATAAATAATTTACCGAAACTCATCGAAAATTATTCTCCAGACGATATTTTTAATGTTGACGAAACAGGATTATTTTTCAAATATTTACCTGAAAAAACTTTTATGTTTAAAGGCCAATCTTGTTCAGGTGGAAAACATAGCAAAGAAAGAGTAACACTTCTGTTAGGGGCGAATATGTCGGGCACAGAAAAATTAAGACCACTTTTGATTGGTAAGTCGAAAAAACCACGATGTTTTAAACAAGTAAAATCATTACCATTAGATTATCATGCGAACAAAAAATCTTACTTTTTATAGATAATTGTACTGCACACAATTTGACTTCAACTTTATATGCTATTCAAGTGCAGTTTTTACCTCCTAATACTACGTCTGTATTACAACCATTAGACCAAGGCATAATAAATAATTTTAAAATATTTTATCGAAAAGAAATGGTAAAAAAAATTATATCGGCTATAAATGATAACAATCAAATCATAATAAACATATTGGATGCTATACGGCTATGCGATAAAGCATGGTGACACGTAAAAAAAGGAACGATTGTAAACTGTTTTACAAAATCAGGTTTTAAAACATCAATTGAAAACGATGAAAACATTCCTTATGATCCTTCTGATGATAATAACGATGAATGGGATCAATTAACGGAGAAAATAAATATTGATGAAACCTTTACATCATACGTCAATGTCGATGAAAATTTAGATATTTGTGGAGAATGGATTAAGAACGATATTATCTCCAATATATTGGACGAAGATAACCAAGAAGAATTCGAAGTCCTACAAGTACAATCCACCATTACAAATAAAGAAGCAACACTTGCATTAAAAACATTACGTAAATATATTGAAGGCAATGAAGGTATGGAAGATTTATTTAAGCCACTCGGTATTTTAGAAAATAGAATTGAGAACAATATAGTGTTAAATAAACAAAAACAATTAACTTTACACCAATTCTTTAAAAATAATAACATGTAAATTTTCTTTTTTATTTCGTTAATGTAAATACATATTATATAAAAATAAAAACATACTTTTTAAAAGTTTTTGATAACTCGAAATTTTTAGTAAGTCGAATTTTTTTTTCCCCCTTGAACTTCGAGTTACTGAGAGTCGACTGTATTAATTTTTAACACATTTTCATAAATATATTTATTTTTATCTGTAGTTAATTACTATTATTTTTTATTTAATGTTGTTACGTTTTCTTCAAACATAACAAAACTGTTAAGAAACGATTTAATATAGATATAGTTATTGTTTTTTTTATTTTCAAGACTTTTATTTATTACACAATGCTTTATTTTAAACGTTACTTTGGATGATTTACACTTTATAACAAGGACTGGAACCGGAACCTTTTTTGGAACCTATATTCTTTATTTCGTAGAACCGGAATCGGAACCGGAACTCATTTATAAAAATTAAAAATATTTTTGGTTATTTTCGGTTCTTCGGCGTTTTTCGATTTTATAAAATTACAGCAGATATAACTAAAACCATTTACTTAATATTTGAACAATAAACATGAACTTTTTGTTTTTATCTTTATTAGGAAAAATATAAAGATTTGATTAATATATTTCTTGTAATTTTTGTATTTTTTGTAATTTTTGTATTTTATACATACGAGCGTACAAACACGAAACGAACGTAAAAACACAACGGGTTCTGACGAATGGTGAAAATACACAATGTGCCGACTGCCGAGGCCTTAATAATAATAATAATAATAATAATGACCCCAATAATACAAAATTCAGATAAGATCATGTGGTATAATATAGACTATAGTTTATCAATTTCCCACTTAATTAGAAAAATATTTTATTTTTATCACAACAGCAACCGATACCATGTGATAAGCTACCCCTCCACGTCTCACTGCTACACATTCCGATCATCACTATGCAGTATGCACTATGACTATCAAGTCTGTGATGTGTATATTTGGTGACTGGTGTAGTAACTGCAGGATGAATTGATGAAAGTCTATAATACATTTAATAATAAATATATCTATTATTTTTGAAAAATGGGTCGTCTGTCAACTTCTATAGTTCACAAATATTTTAGTAATAGTAAAATAAAAGATCAATCAATTTGTAAAACATGTTCATGCATAATAAAAGAAAGTGAAAAAAATGTTGTTTTTTTATTATTTAAATAATTAATATTTGGCCACTTTTAGTTTTATTAATGGATTACGGTAAAAAAAAAAAAATTAGAAGACTTAAATAATTCATTAATGAGTAATAACACATTTATGGTTACAATTAAATTTCTAAAAAAAAAAAAACATTGTATTTAAAGTCAAATACAACTTTAAACTAACAAAATTATTGTTTTAAATTAATTTTAATTTTCTCAATTTGAAATGTTTTATATGTAACTTAAATATCTAAGAATTGGAAACAAAATTTTGTATTATTTAAGAACTGGAACCAAATTTCTTAATTTTCAAATAACCGGAACCGAAACCAGAACCGGTATAAACATCAAGGTTCCAGTTCCTGTTTTATAAGACATCGTTTTCACAGTGAGTTACACCCAAAAGGAGTTAGATAATTACGACAACGCCAGATAATTCAGCTAGTTACTTTATATATAATGATACTTATATTTCATATTTTTATATAATATTTATAAATATTAAATAACACAAACTTTATTCATGTAATATAAATATAGTAAGGTAAGTATGAAAATATATATTACATACAAACAAAATTTTAATTTTGTTCATTCAGTTCATTTGTAGCTATATACGTTTAATTAATGAATAAATAATTCTATAGTATAATATTAACCAGAATAATAATAATTTTTTCGTCATAAACTTAAAAAATAACTACGACTAGTTACTTTCATTTTATTAAAATGTATTTATATTTCAACTATAAAATATAATGTTTAATTTACATTAAAACATTTGTGTTAAAAAAAAAAGTATAATAATTTTTTTGGCGAGTTTTGCAGTTACAATGTCACATACCCCGATATAATTGTTATATTGATTGGCATTTTTTTAATGTTTTTTTTTTTTTTTATACCAGTTTTGTATGAATTTTATTCGATATCTTAATATCAACAATCAAAACTATGCACTGCAGGAACTAACATACGGACGAATACAACCAGGATGTAATGGGTTCTAAACTTATTTTTAAAAATATCAAATACATAACAGTTATTATATTTTTTACTTTTCACGCGAGATAACGATAATGTTCCGGTTGTTTGTGTAATTTTGAGTGTTTTTTCGTGACTGTAAATAATTTTCTCTGAACTTTCATGTTTTATAAAAACAATTCAAACTTTTGAGTCGAACGAACAAATAACTATAAAAGGAATTCGAAACCGTAATTATTATTGATATTGCTACGCTTGAAAATAAAAAGTTTAGAAAATTAAATTGTAAGTGATGTATAATAAATAAAAGTAAATAATACGTGTTAAAAATTTTCTACATACAAAACTGAAACGTATTCGGCGATTTCTCGGTAGTTCGACAGTAAACTTCCTATAGAAGTCCTCATAACAATGCAATACAATCCGGAAAAATAAACATTGGAATTCGAATTGCTTTATGTTTTTCATTCAAATGTAACCGAGCTGCATGTTAAGACTTATTTTTTATTCAAAAAATATAAAAATATATTAATAAAATTTGTAAAAACTCTATATAATGGTGGCGTATTATGCAATACCAGTGTCAGTGGAAAAATATTCGATTACCACCGTCTTCGAGCTCAACGTTTTAAAATGAAAAATTGCAAATCGATGCGGATAACACTAGGTATAACTTATTATATAGCCCGTGGTTGGTTCAGTGCAGGAGTTAGCGATAAATCATGATTCTACAGTTAAGGGCTGGTCTTTGAATATACATAATAATCTTATTTCCAATAGTGGTGTAACTATCGGTTTCAATATTCAAAATCAGAAAGTCTCTTGACTCGGACAACGTTTGCATTGTAAAATATAATTCATCGGAAACAATTAAAATTTGTCAGCCGAAAAGATAAAAGTACGGAATCAAGTATAACCATTTCTCTTGCCAGACTGTTATTTTATAATCAGATTTTTAAACATGACGCCGAGACAAGAGTTTTTGTTCACCCGTCCGACCGTCGGCGATAAATTACAATTAAGACCACGTACATTTTTCGTGATAATTTTTCTTAACTATCGTTCCTACTCACGGGATAGGGACTCGGCGGCTAGTGCTGTATAAATAATTACGCTGGTCGGAATTTCACGATAACATTTTGCCTATGAACATACAATTATAATTATAATAATAATAATTTGAGTAATGATAATGTGTACGGTAACATTTATTACGGCGCGCGTTAGAAATAATAAACTCTTAACGGCTAAAATGTCCATTTACGCGCATAATCATGCTCTAAAAAATTATTACCCTCCTCGATCCTAACCATTACTTTACGTATTCGCCCGAAATATAGTGCTTTTAATACAGTGTTTTCCCACCCGTGTACCGTGTTCCCGTTGGGTGAAGGAGTGGTTAAGATATAACGCAAAAAAAAAAAATTAATTTTAAATATTTATTTCATTACTTATACCGTTCTACATGCTCAACACGTTTCTAATTAATCGAAAAAGGTAAAAAAAAAAGGTAAGATTCTACTAAGTACGTAACGGGTATGATATTTTAAAACCATTGATTTAATGTTATGCGTATTTCTACAAAAAAACCTCTGCTACAATGCAATCCATAATTTGCTTGGATACCACTATTACCTATAATACAATGTTTTATTTGGATTGTTTGCATTCGTGTGGAGGTTGAGAAATCCGTCAACAACGGTCGCTGGAGTCGCATTCCACACGTCACTGGTTTATAAAACGCGAACGGTTTGCACTCCGGTGTACCTGTATAATCAACAAACAACGTTGCAAACGCTACACTACCAAAATCAAACCTGTAATAAGTGATCAACTTTAGCTGAAATGTCAATAGTTTAAACAACTAATAAGTCTTAATCACTTTTCGACCATCTTCAGTTTGTTCCTACATTCGAATTCAAACACGAATCATACATAATACTGCGCTGATCTCCGGTCCCCTTTTTTCAAACTGTTCAACAACACACGTGCCCGTGTATGAGCAATTCATTTGTTAGGGTTCGACCTGCGTGTATAGCATATATATGTATTCATCACTCTGTCGCTAGTCCCTCAACATAATTATTATTTCGCACACATAAGGCTCGATCCGTACTGCGGTCGTAAATCGTGCAGTACATTTAAAACCGGGGAACGACCGCCGAAAGGCAATGCTCATAATATTGTATTATTGTACACGTACAGAGTTCACGGGGTGTCGTAAAATTTACGATGACTAATAATGAAAAGACCAGTAAAACTAAAACATTCTTAGATTACCCAATTTTTCTCCTCTCGATCGTTTCGACGCCTAGAACACGGATAATAACTGCAACGCATTTACGACTGTTGAACGTATAACATATAAACAAATATATATATATATATATATATCAGTAATATTCTAATTACGACTTTTTTGCACGGGTTCACCGAATGACGACCACCACAATCGTGGCCCACCGACTTATCACTATCGATTCGCTAGTCGATGACTGCCCGTGTATAGTATATATATATATATATATATATATATATATATATATATATATATATATACGACATAGGATTTGAACTTTCGATTTGCAAAGTTCATTCCCAAATACTATAGATAATAAACTCTGAAATTATAGAAATTTAGTCTGCAAAACGCGTAACCGTCCCACCCGCATTACTTCCAAGCCAATATCTATTTGCCAACTTTAAATTGGGCATCAATTGTTTTGTGCACGTGCAGGGTATTGTTATGATGTTATGATTACAATACAATTACAATACAATATAATAT